AAATTATTTGACGTTCTAGGGTCTAGGTTTCCCTGAGTCATCGAAGTAGTGAGTGTTTTTATGTATTTGCATTTAGATATATCACCTTATTAACTAGTTTAATTTCATTTTCAATTTTTGTTTTTATCCTTCAGAATTTATTTTTTTTACTCATTTTGCAGTAGTGGTGATATTTAGTTTGCTTTCTTCGCTTTTGCATGTTCTGCTTTCAGGGTGAATTTAAGTATTCACAAAGCCCGAAAATCACTCGAAGTCGTAAAGAAACAGACTGAAGAATATTCAGTCAAATTTGACTATAAAATATTCTTAATCTCTTTCAGTACGATTTTAAATTCCCACTAGATTAAATTAATTGCATTAATATATGGTCATGTAATGGTTGCACACATTCACGATCAATCCTCCCTGATTATTTTTAAATTTATTAAAGTTGTCTTTGTCAGCACGATGGTATCATGTGACCCGTCCGAATTGGTGCCATTTTGGTGTCTTTGACTTCTTTTCGTTACTTATTTTCAAAAGTCCCTTATTTTATCTATTAAATTCATTAGAATGGATCGTCGGAAGATCTCCATCAGAGCTCTCGATCGTCTCCCTCCAAACGGTATTATTTGGAGTATTTTCTTATTCGAGTGATTTTCCTGATTCGTTCCTTAATCGACGGTCGTACCTATTTATGCTTATGTATTTCCATGTGTTTCTTTTTTCAGGTTTCTTTTTCAGCAAAAAGAGTTCATCTCAGAACTGTTGTAGATTGCATGTTTCTTTTACTGTAGAAATTATGTAGTGTGCTTAGACGGGCGGTTTTGAGTTTGAACCAAATTATGATAAACAGTATAACAAAACTTGAAGAGTTCTTTGTATTTGATAATTATAAATATTCATGTATATATAATTATGAGATGCAGAATTTGATCGATTCAGTTTTCTTTTCCGGTTCTATGTAATACAGTGAAGTGCAATTTACTGTATAATTAGTTCTGTAGTATAAAATTGTGACATTTTTCACAATTCGCGTTTATTCGGTAGTGCTTGTGTAGAATAGTGATTTTAATTTTATTTTTAGTTAAGTAACGTTGTTTATTAATCATAACATTTTCAGATTCTTTAATTAATACAGTAAGTATGTAATATTTGTTATTCCTAATTAATTCTTTCGTTCCAGAATTATTTCTGCAAAACAGAGTATTGGCTTTTGAGTGAAATATCATGTAAATTTAACTTGCATAACATTATATTGATACTCCATATAAAACAAGATATTCCACAGGAATGTCTCGTTTTTTGGGGTCATCAATTTGATGTTATGCATGAAACATAGTAATAATTCAATAGTCAATATGTTTGCGACATAATCTTTATCAATATCTAAATTTATTTGATGTTCCAGATAGGTGATGATTCCTAAGTAGACTGAATTCTAGTTCACCAGTTTACGTATC